AGGCTATTTCACAACAGCCTCCCTTTCCTTCCCCTGTGAAGGGGGATGGGGAAGGGGGAAGGGAGTCAGCATCACAGAGATGGTGCTGAGGAGACCTGGCTTTTAAGCTGGCTCCCCACAGTACCGGCTCCTGCTCCCCTCCCCTTGCTGCCTCTGATACAGGCAGTAGGGGGTGGGGGAAGAGAGAAGGGAGGGACAAAGGGGAATGCAAGTAGTCAACTTGACTAACTGATAAGACTTAGGCTTATCAGTTAGTCAACTAGGGTATGTCTAGACTGCATCCCTCTGTCACCAGAGGGATGAAGATTAGGCAGGTCGACATTACAAATGACGCAGGGATTTAAATATCCCACACCTAATTTGCATAAAAATGGCTGCACGTTTTGCCGACTCAGCACTTTGTCAGCAAAAAGCAGCAGTCTAGAGGGGGATCTGTGGAGAAAGAAAGCCTTTTTCGACAGATCCTGTAAACCTCCTTATAGGAGGCATAAGGAATCTGTTGAAAAAGGCTTTCTTTCTCAACAGATCCCCCTCTAGACTGCCGCTTTTTGCTGACAAGTGCTGAGTTGGCAACATGCGACGTCCATTTTTATGCAAATTAGGCACGGGATAATTAAATCCCTGCCTCATTTGCAATGTCGACCTGCCTAATCTGCAACCCTCTGCCGACAGAGGGATGCAGTCCAGACATACCCCTAGTTACTACTACATCCCTGATCACTAGAACTGAAAATTGAGTCTGTATTAGATTACACAAGCTCTAGTGCATTTATAGGATGGTGCTTTCGTTTATGCCGCTCACTTCTAATTAGATGTTCAGCTTCTGATTTGCCCTGTCATACACTCTCATTTCCTCGAGTTGAACCCTATCCTTTTCCTCCTCAGGCTCAGACATGTTGGAACTTTTTTTCTATGGATTAGGTGCACAGCCAACTCTCAGTTGCTAAAGTGAGGATGGAGGAAAGTAAATTGAGTTTGTGCCCTTTTGCTCTCTTTTGAAGTTTAAAGGAGGACTGAACAGCTTTGCATTAAAAAAGATAAAGTTGGGAGGGGAAGGTGTGCTGCTTATTTTTTAATTAGAAATTCAGGTCATGTCCATGCTGAAGACTAAAGAACTAGCAAGATTAAGACATCCAAAGTGCTAAGCTAGTGAAACTTGATTGACAACGGAAATGAGCCTTCTCAGAGTGTTGGGACTGCTTTGTTGTATTCTTTACTTTGTTAATACCTATTTAATTAGAACAGTTGAGGAGACATCTCCCCTAAAAGCCCCACCACTTACTCCCTTCAGTTCAGTCAAAATTTGAGACCCCCATCCCCAAAAAAACAGTAAAAAGTTTGAAATCTATTATATACTTGAGAGAGCTTGTCTGTATGTCTGTCTCTCCTTCTGTTCAAAAATTCCTCCTAAATGGTAAGAGCTAGGACCACCAAACTCTGTATACAGCTTCCTCTTACCATAACTCAAAGCAAGATAAGGGTTTAGTTGTGCCAGGAAAATGGGATGTGCCTGATATAGGATTGCTTCTCCTAAGATCACACAGAAAAGAGACAGAACCACCAGACAGGTGAAAGGGGCTGGCTGGGAGCGTATGACCCCTGTAGTGGTCAACTGCAGAAGAACTTTGTATGTGTTAGTTTAAGAGTGGTGAGGCCTGCATTCTCCCCCCCCCCCATTTTTTCCCCTACTACTGATGAGCCAGAAGCAAGTCTATGGGAACATATGCCATTTAAGATAAGAATTGTTGCCTGTATAGCAAGAACAAGTATAAGATAAGGGTAAAGGGCAAGAACGCATAAACAACTCTGTTTACCCTAAAGTACTGATCACGTAAACAGGGCCAAAGAACAAAAGTA